GGCACCGACGGAGCGGCCCCGCCAGCGCAGCGCTCACTGAGCTCCCTGAGCAGGTAGGAAGGCAGAGGGACAGGGAACTGGCGGGCGCCTGGCAGCAGGGACAGCGCACCCCGGGGCTTCTGCAGGAATTTGTTCCTGCTGGCTCTTGGCGACTAGATTTAGGAGAAAATGGGGGGCCTAGAAGAGACCCCACCTCCGGCTTCTTCCTCCGAGATAGGCGCAGGGCTCAACCACCGCTGGGCATCGTGCACCCCACACCCCCCAGCCGGGATGGGAGGTCGTTGGAGGAAAGGAGACGGGCCGCGGGGCTGGCGCTGGGCAGCCTCGGACTTTCCTTCGTCGGACGCCGTTCCCCATGCGTCGCCGGGGTGCCCCTGGGGACATGGCCTGGCGCGCCCAAGTCCGGAAGCCCACGCCTCAGCCAGCACCTTCCCAGCCACCTCCCGGGACAGCACCTCTCCGCTCTCGAGGGGTGCACCGGACGCGTTCCTGGGCTGGGGACGCGGGGCGCGTGGAGAAGGGCGTCGTGCTGGCCTCCACGGTCCGGGGGTCAGTTGGGGACAGTGCGGGGTGAGGCGCAGATGGGCTCGGTCGGCGTCCTCTCTCCTCCCTCCATCCCCACCCCCTCTCGTCCTCTCGTCCCCACACCCGCTCCTGGCCGCCGTCCCCAAACGCCGCGCCCCGCCCGCCGCGGTCGGCCCGAGTTCAGCACAGACGCTGTGTCTGGATCACGACGTCCAGGCGGCCCACCCTGAGTGCCCGGGCCACCCGGTCCCTGCCTTCTGGCGGCAGAAGGAGGTCGAGGACGCACGGCCCGCGGAGTAGCCCAGTGGCCAGATCCAGGGTTGTTGGGCAGGTCGTTTGCCACCTGATGAATTTAAAACAACTGAACTATTCAGGCTCTGGGGACTTTGGAATTGCAGATCTGGGCTCTAGTCCAGTGTAGCAGTGGTGTGCTGGGATTAATTCTCAGTAGAATTCTTTCCTCCGGTCCTCTCTTCAGTCTCGCCCTCCTCAGTCGTGCTCACCGACCCCGTCCGTATTATCCCTATAGCTGCGCCCCCTGGCGCACGCCTGCTGTTCCCTGCGCTGCCCCAGACACAGAGAGGGAAGGGCCTCCGGCAGCACCCCTCCCGTTCCCCACCCCCAGGAATCAGAAAAATAATGACTAAATGAATTACTGTGCCAAATTAAGGAGTGTGTACGTCATCCAATGTGTCCGGTTACATTTTGCTGAACGTGGTTTGTGTACGCTGTTTTATTCTCATAAACTGAAGTCATTTTATACTTAAAAAAATTAGAACATTGGCAGAAACAGATTTTAAATTTGAAAGATACAAGTCAGTACTTGTATAATGTTTTGTGCTGAAATTCGCATATGTCGTCACTCGGACACAGTGACATGCACACATACTGCACAGTGTGTGCAGACCCTGCACCCCGTGCACACAGGAAACCGAGTGAATATGTACACCCGGCTGCATTCAGGCCTGCTGTGCACACCCAGCAGCACACACTGTGTGCCTGCACACCGAACTCCACCCAGACCCTGCACACACGCTGCTCATGGAGCTGCCCTGTGCAGAGGAATGCTGGCTTGGGTTTAAAATAGGATAACAAGCCCAGTGTGGTGGTCCATGCCTGTAATCTAAGCACTGTGGGAGGCCAAGGCTAGAGGACGATTATACTCACACACACATAAGAAATTAGCCAGCTGTGGTGGCGCGAGCCTGTAGTCACAGCTGATTGCAGGCAGAGGCAGGAGGGCCACTTGAGCCCAGTAGTTTGAGGCTGTAGTGAGCTATGATGATGCCACTGCACTCTAGCCAGGGCAACAGACGAAGATACTGTCTCCAAAAAGAAAAAAGGTACTGGCTCGGTGCCCATAGCTCAGTGGTTAGGGCGCCGGCCACATACAGCCAGGCTGGTGGGTTCAGCTGGGCCTGCTAAACAACAATGACAACTACAACAAAAAAATAGCCGGGTTTTGTGGTGGGTGCCTATAGTCCCAGCTACTTGGGAGGCTGAGACAAGAGTTTGAGGTTGCTGTGAGCTGTGATGCCAGAGCACTCTGCCAAGGGCGACATAGTGAGACTCTGTCTCCAAAAAAAAAAAAAAAAAATACAATCAACATTTCGAAAACATTTGTGTGTAAAAGTGTCTTGAGAGATTTTCATCTTTTTAAGAAAACTCTGTATTACGAGTTTCTAGCAGTCTGGGAGGCCGAGGTGGGAGGATCCTTTGAGCTTAGGAGTTCCAGACCAGCCTGAGCAAGAGAGAGACCCAGTCTCTACTAAAAAATAGAAAAACCAGACAGATGTTGTGTGTGTGGGGGGGTGCCTGTAGTTCCAGCTGCTCAGGAGGCTGAGGCAGGAAGATCACTTGAACCCAGAGTTTGAGGTTGCTGTAACCTAGGCTGATGCCATGGCATTGTAGCCTGGGCAACAGAGTGAGACTATCTCAAAAACAAAATAAGAAACAAAACAGTGAGTCTAATGACTTAGATTCTGAACTTTCAGTTTTTCAAGGACATAGAAGTATTTTTAGTTGCCCTCTGTTTTCTTCTGGAACCCTGAAACAAGTTGTTCCTAAACTTCTGCCAGTTGTCTACAGCTCTGCCTGTGCTGCAGCGCGCGCACACCTTGTTCACCCTGCACCGCGCACCCCAGCGCCAATCCCCAGGTCACCTGTAGGCCTGGGCAGGGCGGGGGTTGGACTGGCCTGCGCCTGCCTTCAGGACAGCTGTTGTGCCCCCGGCTGCCACAGGCCAGGTGGCGCCCTGACCCTGCCTATGTCCCCATCAACCCTCTAACCCCTGGCCTCTCCCACAGGCAGAGATGCGACTGCTCCTGCTGCTGCTGCTGCTGCTGTCCCCGGTGCCCGCATCCGCGGTAAGTGGGCCCCGTCCTGTCCCTGGAAGGACCCTGTGTGGGAGGCAGGCAGAAGACCCGTGGGCCCCTGCCTGGCTGGAGCCTACCAGCTGAGCGCCTTCAGAAAGGGCTGGGACCCGAAGCCAGCTAGCCAGGGTGCAGGCTGTAGGAATGGCACTTTGTCACCATCTTCTCCCTCCAGAAGATGGTAGGTGCACTTCCTGAAGGAGCAGTTAATGCTGGTCCCAGCAGTGGACTTCCAAGGTGGAAGGACAAGTGTGGACAGTGCTGGGACCAGCCAAGGACCAGCCCATCCCACCAGCCACCTGTGACATGCCTAGAACCAAAGGAAGCTTCAGAGGTGTGGGGTGGCAGTCATTTTGTGTCACCTTGGGATCAGCACTAGAGCAGGACTGTCTAATAGAAACTTCTGAGGTGATGGAAGTGTTCTCGTGTCTCTGCTAGTCAACAGGTCCCTGTGGCTATTGAGCACTTAAAATGTGCCTACTGTAACCAAGAGACTGAGTTTTAATCTTATTTGACTTTAATTAATTGTGACTATCATATTAGACTGCACAATTTTTTTTTTATTGTTGGAGATTCATTGAGAGCACAGAGAACCAGGTCACACAGGTTGCATTTGTTAGGTAAAGTCCCTCTTATAATTGTGTCCTGCCTCCAAGAGGTGTGTCACACACTGTGACCCCCCCACCCTAGACTGCACAAATTTTGAGAGTGGATACAAGAAGCCAACTGGTGATCAGAGAAACTATTTCATTAATAGGGGCTCAAAGGACCGGGTTCTTTGGAGAAGAAGGCACCTGGGTTCTGAGGATATACAGGAAATTTTCTAGATGGCAGGACCCACCTTTAGGGAGGAGAGGGTCTGAGAGCTGGGTACTGCCCTGGGGTGGTGTCTGACAGAATAAAGGAAAGCCAGGCCCTGTCCTGTTCCTGGAGAACTGTTCCTAACTGTTCCCACAGCCCCATCCCTCTATGACAGGCGTCCTCAAACTACGGCCCGTGGGCCACATGCAGCCTGCCTAGAACATTTATCCAGCCTGCTGGGTGTTTTTGCCCCGCTGCCTGTCCTGCTTAGCAGCTGACTCGTCCTGGGGCCCACAGTCCAGCCTTCCAATGGTCTGAGGGACAGTGAACTGGCCCTCTGTTTAAAAAGTTTGAGGACCCCTGCATGAGGTGGGCAGAGAAAGGACCCAAACTGCTGCCTTGTGGAAGGTGGGTGGAGATGCTGCTCCTGGGTGGAGGCTGAGAAGGGCTCCTCTGGCAGCCAGTGTGGGACAGGCAGGGAGGGAGGTCAGCAGTGGGCACACCTCCAAGAGCCTCGTGGATCCAACACTCCAACACGGGCCACAGTCAGAACTGCGGAGGCCAGAGCCTTCCTCCTGTCCTCTCCACCACCTGCCAGCTCCCCACAATCATCTCTGCCATCCCATGGACCTTGTTCCCTAAGTGCCACACTCGATGAGTTTCTTCTAGGTGTGCTGCTAGCCTAGTTGCAGGTGGAGGAGTCACTGGGACAGTGTCAAGACCCCAGGATGATACCCCAGGGCCACCCCGTAACAACTGCATAACCCTTGGCAAACCACCAAGCTTTAGATCCCTCTCATTTTCGGGTATAATGCCCACTCCAGGTTGCGCAAATGAAACAAATCAAGGTTTACTATGAGGTCCCTTATCCCTTAGAAACACCCTGAGCAGCCTTCTTCTCCCATTACCTCCTCGCAGTGGGGGAGGCTAAGGAGGGGTGAGGCACTCTTCCTCTACCCTCTGCCTGTCTGGTGGAGTGGCTGTGGCCAGAGCCCCACTGCCTCCAGTTTCTGGTTCTAACTGGGGCAGGGTCCACGTCTGGGTCCCGAGCTCCTTCTCGGGATCACTCTAGTGCTGCCACGGGTCAGAGTGAGCAGAATGAGTTGATGATTAAAGGCAGTAGACTGTGGGTCCCCTGGCCTCAGCCTCTGCTCTTGCCCCTGTGCTGACTCTCTTTCCCTCTCACACACACCCACACCGGGCAACTGATTCCTCTGGAAACTGTGGGGCAGGAAAAGGGGCCCCTGGGTGGCTCAGGTGGGAGCAGAAGCAGGAGTGGGTGGGGCACTGACACCAGTACAGACAGGTGAGGGCAGGCCTAGGGTGAGGTTGGGTGGCATCAGCTCATTTTGGCTTCATACCATCAGGTACTTCATGGTTTGGGCAATTATAGAGAAACAGACACGCCTTCCTTCCCCCAGGAACAGTAGGAGTGAGTGGACAGAGTGGCTCTGGGATCATTCAGACCAGGGCTCCTTAGGGACATATGCTGGCCCCTGGGCTAGTACCTGCCTATCTCACAGGCACTGGGTGCATAAGCAAGGTGATGTCCTTCAGGGCCAGTCCTGGGCTCAGCCCTAAGGGGGCCCTGTGTTCAGGCCAGCTCTCTCCAGACTGTGGCCTGCCAGCCAGAGGTGGCTCTATGGCAGCAATGTTCCTCGTTGCCTTGGGCACATCTATAGGCCCGGCCCAGTTCTAGGGAAGGGTAGATTTGGGGAGGCTCAGGTTGTAGGGGTTTTGTTTGTTTTGAGACAGAGTCTCAAGCTATCACCCTGGGTAAAGTGCCATGGCATCATAGCTCACATCATCTTCAAACTCTTGGGCTTAAGTGATCCTCTTGCCTGCAGTTTTTCTATTTTTAGTAGAGACAGGGTCTTGCTCAGGCTGGTCTCAAACTTGTGAGCTCAAGCTATCCACCTGCCTTAGCCTCCCAGAGTGCTAGGATTATAGGTGTGAACTGCCACACTCTGCCTCAGGTTGTAGTTTAAGGGAGCCAAGTCAGACATCTGAGGTGAGAAGGCACAGCCCCTCAAGGCCACTTTCTGAATTCTTATGATGTGGGGGTGTGTGCCAGCACCCCAGCTGGGACTGCAGAGTGTCTCTGGAAAGTTACCTCCACTCCCAACACTCAGTTTCTTCCCTTTGAAAAAGAAAACTTGATCCAAGTCAATTTCAGTTTAAAGCTTCATTGGGAGGATATTCCGATAATTTGGTTTACTAGTTTCAAAAGCTTGGCAATTTTGTCCTAGTTAGAAATGAAGGAGTAGATGATTTTTAAAAAGTGAAAACTGAGACCTTTGGTCAGCCTGGCCCTTCCTTCTTGATTTTGAGTGCTCAGCAAGTTTAGTGGGATTTGTTCTGCTTCAGGGTTCTGGATGTTCATGTTCTAGATGTTTGATGTCAGGGTGTGAGGGATGAGGGAACCTCCTCCTTCACCTGAGATCCAGTGAAGTTGCTCCTAGCCCAAGGAAGACCTTGCTTTTTTCCATGTTCCCACTGATCTCTTTCTCTTAAAAATAGTGGTGACTATTTGTAGAAATTCTTATATCCCAACATCTTAAAATAAAGTCCCCCTCCAGCAAATGGGCCATATTTCCAGTATACCATCTGCTTCCTGGCAAAATTGTGAAATCAAGTCTAATACCTGTCCAGTTCCTTAGGACTCATCACTGTCTCATTTGATTCCAGAGAGGTAGGGGGAGCAAAGGCCTGGAGTGAGGTTGGCCTACCACGGTGTCCACTTATTCCTCTGGAGCCTCCTCTCTCTCTGCCTCGCTCTTCTTATCCATGCAGTGGAGTCTGTTGGGCTGTTCTGAGGATTAAATGAGAGACTGTGCAGGTAGCATGTGGACTTCTGATGCCAGCCACAAGGTGTCATATATTCCTGGTGGGAAACTATCTGTTAGGATTATATTCCTTCGCAGAGTCCCAAATAACAGTCCTTCAACAAGACAGACCTGATCCCTCTCCCGGGATCTCTGTTTTGTTCTGTCTCTCAAAGTCCTCTGAGCTCTAGAGCAGTGGTTCGCAACCTTCCTAAAGCTGCAGCCCTTTAATACGGTTCCTGGAGGTCGCGACCCACAGGTTGAGAACTGCTGCTCTAGAGTCTCTTTTTGCTTCACTCTTTGAAGCCTCTATTTCCAAGTTCCTTAATAGTCTAGAAGGCTGCTCAAACTCAGTCATCACATCTGCTTTCCAGCCAGCAGAAAAGAATAGGGGAGGAAGAAGAAAATGACAAATGTATATGCAACCTATCTCTTAAGGAAATTATAAGAGGCCACTTTTTTAAAATTTAAAGACATTAATTCTGAGCCAAGTGTGTGTGACCAATGGCCCAGAGCATGTTTTCAAGAGGTTCTGAAAATGTCTTCCCTTAATAGCAGAATTATGGTTTGATTTTATACATTCACAGTGATAGGAATTAGACATAATATCAGTCAATACATGGAAGGCATACATTGGTTTGTAACTGGTTTCAAAAATGAAACTTTGTCTAAAGCAGCGGTTCTCAACTTGTGGAACTGTATTAAAGGGCCATGGCATTAGGAAGGTTGAGAACCACTGGTCTAAAGGCTTGGGATGTTTTAACTTAAAAATATCTGTTAAGCAGACACAATTCACCCCGCCAGACATGTACAGATCTGTTTGATGGGCTACAGGTGTAGTTCTAGCTTTGCCTTGCATGTCCTCAAGCCTATTAATGGTTAGTATCTTATTGTAACAAAGGGTAGCTCCAAAAGGGAGGGAGCACGACAAGGTGTGTTTAACCTCCTTTCTCCTCGTGGCAGGTAAACTCAGCTTTAAGGTTTTTCTGGGGTCCCTTTTACCAAGAGGAAATCTATTCTGTTGGTTGGGGGGGGGGCTTAAGAGTTAGTTCACAGTTTAGTCATCCATTAATAAACCTTTCCTGAATTAAAAAACTACTTTGTAATTAAATAATTTTCTAATCTTATTTCTACATTAATAGATTTTTGGTGAAAAAGAACTTAACTTTTATTTTCTTAAATACTCAAATTTGTTTTACTCCTTTAGAATGAATTCAAAATGGAAAAAAGGGTTTTGAATGTCCGAAAAAGTACTATTAAGAACTGAGGTGTGAGGCCGGGCATGGTGGCTCATGCCTGTAATCCTAGCACTCTGGGAGGCCGAGGTAGGTGGATTGCTTGAGCTCATGGAGTTCAAGACCAGCCTGAGCAAAGAGAGAGTTTCTGTCTCTAAAAAAACTAGCTAGTGTTGTGGCAGATGCTTCTTGGGAGGCTGAGGCAAGAGAATCACTTGAGCCCAAGAATTTGAGGTTGCTGTGAGCTGTGACACCATGGCACTCTACCAAGGGGAACAAAGTGAGAGTCTGTCTCAAAAACTACCCCCCTCAAAAAAAAAAAAAAAAAGGTGTGGAGAGAAGTAAACCCTCTTCCACTGTTGGTGGGACTGCAAATCAGCACAGCCTCTATGGAAAGAAGTATGGAGATTCCTCAAAGAACTAAAAGTAGACCTACCATTTGCCCCTGCAATCCCACTACTAGGCATTTACCCAAATGAAAAAAAGACATTTTGTAACAGGGACATTTGCATTCAAATGTTCATAGCACCTCAGTTCACAAATGGCAAAGATGTGGAAACAATCCGAGTGCCCATCAACACATGAATGGATTAATAAATTGTGGTATCTGTACACCATAGAATACTATTCAACCATAAAAAGATAGATAGTTTACATCCTTTGTAACAAGCTGCATGGATTTGGAGAATATTCTCCTAAGTATCACAAGATTGGAAAAACAAGCATCTCCTGTACTCAGTACCAATTTGCAACTAGGAGATTAATAATCACAGACTCACGGGAGAGTGAGATCTCAATTGAATTCAGGAGGGAGAGAGGGAGAGGGGGGTTCATTTGCTTCCCATCCAAAGGGTACAATGCATGGATATATGGCATACTCCCTGGGTGTGGGACTTAGCTGCAACTCTGACTTTAACTGTTCATGTGTAAATTATATAACCTAATAATAATATTAGCATATGTGGTGTACATATACTACAGTTTATTAATGGTTTGTACTCTCACATTAATCTGAAATTAAAAAATTAACTAAAACCAATTTCTCTCTCCTTCTCCTCAAACTGCTTGTTTTCCTGATGCAGTCTCAGGGACAAGCACTGAGCTTTCAGCAACAATCAATGATCATAGATGAAATGGTAATTCAATTCTTTTTTTAAATTTCAGATTAATATGAGGGTACAGGCCATTAGGTTATATAATTCACACATGAAGGGTTGGGGTCAGAGTTGTGGCCAGTTCCTATGCCCAAGGAGCGTGCCTTATATCCATGTGTTGTGCCCACCGGGTGGGCAGATGCTGAACCTCCTCCCCCTTCTTGAATTTAATTGAGATCTTCTCACCTGTGGATCAGTGATTGTTAGTCTCCTCCTGTCAAATTGGTATTGACATGGAAAAACCTGTCATGCTGGTTTTTCTTGTGCTACTTAGGAGAATGTTCTCCAAAACCATCCAACACTTTTATTTATATCCCACTGATGAGAACTTAGGGAGGTAGCCACAGTTGGCTTCAGGAAGTCTAAGAAATGCCTTGAAATTCTCAGCTCAAGCAATCTACTGGCCTTGGCTTCCCAGAGTGCTAGGACTACAGGCATGAGCCACCACGCCCAGCTGATATCTGGGAACTGTATTTTATATTTTGGGCAGCCAGGTACCCAGCTAAGAGTCAAGGTTTCAAGAAGTGGGTACTCCTGAGAGTCTCTGCCACAGATGGGCAGGAACAGACCATACCCCCCATGTTGCTTCCCTTTCCTGTTTTTCTTTAGGGCCCTCCCCCTGCATCACTGTGAACCCACAAATGCCCGGGCCCTCCAGTTGGCTCTGGCTATCGGGTCCCTCTGTCTGGTGGCTCCCTGGAGCTAGCACTTTCCCCAGCTGCCTCAACCTTCTCACCTGCCAAGCCTGGCTGTCAGCTCCTTATGATAAATATTGGCTAAATTCACAAATAAATGTTTTGGGGGTGCCTGGCAGTGTTGCTGAATGCTACAGGGCTGGCTCCAGAAGGGAGACTCTCAGGCTTCTTGAATAGTTTTAGGTGGAGGTCCCTTATGGGGCGTCCAGGCTCACGTTCCCAGCATGTCTTCTGCAGGCTCCCCAGATGAGGCGGCAGAGTGACACCTGGGGCTCCTGGGGCCCGTGGAGCCCCTGCAGCCGGACCTGCGGAGGGGGCATCAGCTTCAAGGAGCGTCCCTGCTACTCCCAGAGGTAGGGAGACATGGGAGGCTGGCTACTGGGTCTTGGGTGAAATAAAATGGCAGATGCGAGAGAAGGATGGACCCCACTTCAGATGTAATTAATTAATAGAAATTTACTGATAATTTGATACACCTACAGGTGCACCTACAGGGGGCTGTTGTGGTGGGCCAACAAGCAGCCTTGAATAATGGGTGAAAAGCCTTTTTATACTGTTATTCTGCATAACCATGCATACTCAGCAAGCTAACACAATACAGGCAGGGTGAGGGGTACATATTGATTCATAAATCACAAGATACATCAAAATACATTACTTCATGATCATAAGATAGGGCATATCACAAGGGGTTACACAATTCAGGGTGGAGGGACATGCTAACTTAAGGTATATTAGCTCACAAATTATAAAATAAGGGGTACAGCCAAGTGTTGGGTAAGTTTCTGAGAACAACTTGGGACCCACCCGGGGCTTTATTTGGAATCCACCCCTCCTTTCCTCCTTTTCTTATCTTGGGGCTTTTCCCCAGAACCTAACTTCTCCACCCTTGAGAGAGCTGGAACTAAAAGGTTTAGGGGAGGTTTCCTTTTCAAGGGTAGGGGGCTTGTTCCCCACTGGTCTTAGGGAGGGGGTCAAGGGCTGGAGGCTTGGTTATTACATGGGCTCAGTCACATGGGCAGAACCCACCAAGCAACATATCTGTTCTGGAAGCAGCATCAGAGCAGGGAATCTAATCACATCACTTCCCCAGAGTCACACTCTGAACTGGAGTACTCCCCCTCATGCCTCCCTGAGACCCTAGCTCCCACTATGGTGCCTGCATAGGGCAGGTGCAGTAAATTTTCTTGGAATCAATAAATAATCTTCAGCTGACAATTCCTAACTTCTGTGGCTTCCTTATCCCCCCATGCTCCCCACTTCAAGTGATTTATGGAGCACTTAGGATGTGCCTTGCCTTCTGACAGGCACTGCAGAGGGGTGGGGTACTAAAGAAGGGGTGGGGCGGGCCCCTGTTAATGGGTTTGTTAACTGGTTGCTCCTGAGGACACTGTGAGTGAGGAGGAGGTAATATTCTAAACGCCTTATGCCTGATTACTCCTTAGATCTCAGAATAGCCTTACCAGGTATATATGTATTACATCTTATGGGTCTCCAAAGGCAGAATTTGGGTTTTCTCTGAAAAGCTGCTCTAAGAGAGAGATTCATGCAAACCACAGGATACTGAGTCTAACTTCTCCCAATCATGGGGCCAATTTACACCTGCCTGAGGGGGGTGATGTGGGAGGGCACCCCCTTCTCGTCTTGCTGTCCCTCTGGCCCAGCGCTGCCAAGGAAGCTGGGGCCTGCAGGAGAGCCCCAGGAGGAAGCGGGGCCGTTGAGTCACAGGCTGGGTCATCCCGTACGTACTCTGGTCCCGCAGGAGAGACGGAGGCTCCAGCTGCGTGGGCCCCGCCCGGAGCCACCGCTCTTGCCGCACCGAGGTAAGGCCCGGGGTCAGCCGCTCCGGCAGCCTCTTTCCTGCCCGCGTCCTGCCTTGCTCTGTTAGCCCGATCTGGGCGCCCTCCTGCCCGTCCTCCCCGCAAGCCCTCAGCGCCCGGCAGACGCGCCTGAGGAGGAGCCAGGCCAGGCGGAGTCGTCCTGGGCTCGGGCGGGGACACCCTCCGGACCCGCTTCCCGGGACACCGGCCTCGCCCAGCACCCGCAGGCTGGCGACTTCCCCCGTCCGCCCGCAGAGCTGCCCGGAGGGCGCGCGGGACTTCCGAGCCGAGCAGTGCGCCGACTTCGACGGCGAGGCCTTCCAGGGCCGGCGCTACCGGTGGCTGCCCTACTACGGCGGTAAGCGCTGGGGTCCGCGCGCCGCGCCACATTTTACAAAATCACCGGTGCCCCGCGCACATGGCCAGCGCAGCCCAACACGGCGATCATTTGAAGTCTTTCCTTCCTTCCTTCCCTGTGCATGCATTTTCAGACAGCTAACGCTGTCTACACCTCTACGAGCCGGCTTTGGTTCAGCCTGCAGTCTGACGTGGCCGGAGGCGGTCCC